AAATGCAAACGTCCTATTTTGGACTTAAAATAAATATATCAAAATTATTGTTGATTTATATTCACTTACTAGACATTCCCATATATCATAATGTACTTTAAACACCATTAACGCATCGTAATGGCGTGTGAATATCACGCTACACTCACAACAAAAAAATTAACACGCCATTATATTATGGTAAGTTAAGTCTTCAATTAAACTGCCTGTAAATTTCCGTGTCAGAATTAAAAGATTACCGCTTTAACTTATATTTTAGACCAATAGGAAGCCAACTAGCTAACAGCCAATCAAAATCTACCTAAATCTATTTTCACACATCAGCTGGTAGACTGTTCCAAATGACTGAAAACTTATTTAAGAATAGGTTGTACCGCATGTAAGTCTGACAGTGCTCTACAGCAGCTAGGTTGTGGTGATTTCTAAGATTGTAACTGATGACAGCGGTAGATTTAATTATTGGCCCGGAGGAGAAGATTAGTTAACTTGTAGTAAAAAATAAGGTTTAGCTTAGGAAGTCTTTTCCAGAGTGGTTCTAATCTTAGACTTTGGCAACGCTCAGAGTATTCGAGACCACTTTCTAAACCAAGAGTTCTTGAGGTTAAATTGACTTTGCACTCCCTCTAACTTAAGCTTCACATTCTGTCGCATGTCGTATGTTTGTTAGTCATTTACGTTCCACGATAGGATGTCATGGGTGTGGCATCATTGAGAGTTAATGATGCTGAATGTTCATGGCCGATTTTCGTATAGTATGCGTCAGACATTGCAAAATAACGCTTCAACTTATGTTATTGAATAAAAAATGCTACGAAATACTATAAAACTATACATTTTGGAGAAGTATGTGAGGGAGGGTAGTTGTTGATTGAGTAAAGTGGACATGTTAATGTGTCTTTCTAGGCTCCGTTTGAATTTTAAATGGTAGTTGTTTCCAAAGGGTGCAATATATGATGCGCGTATGATGAATAACGGAACAACCTCCATCGTCAAATCTGCTTATCATCGCAATGTTGGTCCACTGAATCTGCTAATACTAAAATAATACTGTACTTACCGTCTACTGTGGAGTTCTATAAATTTTCAAACCCTCTACAACTGGTTAATCGATAGTGATTGCAAATTCTGCATTTTATGTGTCTGCACCTGTGCATCATATTTCTTCTTACTCCCCATAACGCAACCTTTTGTAATTCTCGCGTGAAGTTAACTGACCATATGTATACTGGTGATCAAAATTTAGACTCAAACCAATATCATATAACTTATTCGATTAAAAGTAAAAATTACAAACTTCCTATATAGTTTCTAGAATTTTTTTCATCTTTTTTCAATACTAATGACATAAAAGTGTTCAATTTCAAATTGTACTCGTCATATATGATAATGCCTGTACAGATGTTATGTCAATCATGTAAATGCTTATTTAATGTGGACAAAATATTAAATATTATTCGATATACAATATTTTTCCACGTTATGGATGAGTTATTGCAACCATAGGGGTTCTAATTTCAGCTGTATACACCTGTCAGCATATTCCTCTTGTTGGTCAAATCCTGTTATGCGTTTCGTGAGGAATCCCTGGACACTTTCGACTTTTTTGGGTCTGCAGACCTTAGGTTATTAAATAGGAGAGCACAATATTCGAGTTTGGGGCGAATACATGTTCTATATATAGCTAATCGTGCTTCTCGGGTGTAAAGGTTACGCAGTACAAAGCCAGCAAGTCGTTTACAGTTAGATACCACCTTATTTGCACAATCAGAAAAGATTAAATCTGAGTACAACATCCCAAGATCTGTAACTGCGTTCAGTTTGGAGAGGAGCTTGTCGTGCATGTATAAACACATTCGTGGTTTCTAGCGTCCAAGGTGGGTTATACCGCACTTGTCTGGGCTGAAAGTCAGTTTCCACATTTCGCTGCAACCGCCTAGATTGTTTGAGTCATGTTAAACCTTGCTTTAGAAGCTCATGTCATCGTGCGCATATACTATCTTGAGGTCATCTGAAAAGGTGTATGGCTTGCCATACTCGGCCACAGGGACCATGTCATTTATGAATAACAGGAATAGAATTGGGCCAAGAACGCTACGTCTCTTTACGTCAGCGGTTATCGGCTTAGGTAAAGACAGCCGGTGGTTGATTTTCACTAAGTGCTCCCTTTTCGATAAATTCATCATCAGGCTCTACAATTATATATACATTATAGTGAATGAATTAGTTACTGTTATGAAAAACATTAATGTTGAAATAATATCGAATCAATAATATTGATAGATTACAGCTGAATAGCATCGACATAAAATAAGCTGAATGTCAGAAGAATTAGGAAAGATAATATGATAATAATTTATATTTTCATAGAAACATTAATTTACATGAAAATGCATGCCATTTTTACAGGCACGTTCAAATATGATATAATGTCAAATAGTAGATAGTCTACAAGTTAATGTTTGAACACCTAATATTTGATACATATAAATACACTCATTGTCTGACCCAGGTCGTATGATTATTGAATTAAACAGTAGTCCTCCAGGTTGCGCAGGAAAATCGACTTCGTTTCGTTTTCAACCCGTAGTTGTAGGCATACGATAACCAACCAATATTGAGGTAAGTACAACGTTTACAAGGGATAGTAGGCTGTTTTAGAAAAGTAAAGGTGTTAAGGTGAATCATTAAAGTGTAATGAACTAGGTAAATGCAATGTATCATTAATAGATGCACTCATAAAGGAAATACAATGGGAGACTATAATCCCTAGGCTGACAAAGTTCATTTGCAATGTATAATGCTACCCACATAGGTCTTACTATCATGATGTCCACTTTTGGTTTTAATACAATTATCCACAAGCTGGTTGTTTTAATTTCATACCTTTTTGTGTTTGGTGCACAACCGTGCCCTATAGAGAATAGGAATAAAATAAGTCGAATCAAATTCATGAAGAGCTATAAAATGTTTCAATAAATATGCTTTTCCGCAGTTGTAAGTGTTTTATTCTTCTTTTGTTAGTTGGGGAGTTGTTAAGAGCAGCTCGACCACCAGGTTATGTGGGCCAGTCTAAAGCGCCAGCAGGCATTATGGCCGGTCTTTAGGTCTAGCAGGGTTGACTGCCACATTTCAAATGTGAGAGTTATGTCTAGCACGAACCAACTGAAAGCGATTTCGAATCTATACCAACAGACTAACTAATTTGTTTCCTAGACTGGTTCTAATATCGTTTGTGAAGCCCTTTGCTGTATAATAAAGCATCCTTTGAAAGGATACCAGTGTGCTTGCTTGTTCCATTTCTAGTTGTACTTCGTTCCATGTCTGCGCATATTTTATAAAGTGGTGGTCTCACATTTTTCGATAGCCACTGTTCTTCTAATGTGTCTTAGGTTATAGCTGTTGTCTTTTGAAAGTCGAGTGCCGTAAGAAGAGTTGTAAAATGGGGGAGGGAAGAAGCTTACACAGGACTCCCAAGTTTGGGTTTCTAAAGAATAAGATCAGCTGCTGAGTTGTGGTGTGATTGTGCATCCATACCATCTATTACAGTCTATGCTGGGATAACTTCCATTAAGGCTGAAATCGTTGAAGATATTGCAAGATTTATTGTTCTATTTAGCAAAATGCATCAAGTAGTCGTAAGACAACTCTTAAATTTCGAGGTTATCTGCTGTTCAAATACCTAAACTGCCATGGGCGAACACAAAATAGCCCAGAGTTAACGAAAATGTGCACTCAAAAAATATACAGCAGATGAAGATGAAATACAAATGGCCCAATTTACACAAAAATGTAAAATGGTTTTTAGAGTACAACTTTAGTACTTGAAGGTAATTTATTAGACATAGCTATGTCTACCAGAAGAACGTTAGTTTCTTTACCAAACTGTGAATTATAATAATAATTTGGAGGTTGAAGGTATCGACGTTCGCGAACTGTACGGAGTATACTAACGCAAGATCTTATACCAACAACTTCTATAGTGTTCGTTCTTCGAGTACCAAAGATAAAGCAAAAGATCAGATTTAGTTGTCCAAAGTACGCAATATATTTCGGGACCAAATCGCGGGTTGAAGTGAATGCTTAGCTAGCTAGTAATCGTGCACGCACGTGACACGAAGGAGTACCAAATGGCGGGGATGCTTGACCGGAAGCCTTCAGCTAAACAAGTCGACTTAAACAGTGATGGTCAGCATCCAATGTTGAGTGATGATTGCTGTGGTCAATAATTTTGGGGAATTATTCACTGCCACAATAATAATCAATTCTAGTGATAAGAATTTATTCGGTCACCAGAGTTACGCTTGTCTTGAAGTGAGAAGTACATTATAATTATTAGGAAAGCTTTCATGAAAATCTGATACTTATACTCAGTTACGCACATGCCATATTGTTAATAGCCGATTCCACAAACTAAAGGCAAAATGATGATAATTTCGTAGAAGCAAAGTTCGCTGAAAGTTCAGTGAGTGCAAAGGAAATTTTCAGGTACAAAAAGCCTGTTAATCATCAGCATCCCTTTTTCTATAAACTCATAATCAGTCATAGCCTCGAGGCACAACTGACCTTACTCTGCTTTACAAGGGACTACATATTGGCGCGAGAGTGTACCTTATTTTTGGAGAATAAACCTCTGAATAGAGGGCAGGTACAAGTGTATCACAGATCTCTTCTTCTAAAGAGGAGCTGAATCCCCGTATAGATATTTCATTAGAACACAACTACAAGCCATATGACGCTTAGTTTTGGAGCCTGAATACTGACACATCAGTAAGGTACTGGTTGTATACTTAGAATACGCTGTACTCCAGGAATGTCTGTGTTAGCCATTACAAAGGGAAGAGTAAAATCATGTCGGAGTCTGGTCCTATACCCACCTGTAGAAACAATATTTAAAGGTTTATTAGAAGTCTATTTGGCTTCTTCAGTTTATTCTGTCTGCTTCAACAAGGAAATGCAATAGAGGTATTCATCGTTTGAATTAACTACATATGCTTGTATCCATTGCGGACAGCATTGTGAAACTTCAAAAAATGACATCAGATGAAATTTCCGACGGTTATTTCTTCTTATCAGTCACTGGACAAATCGAAAAGGCGGATGTAAGCATAAAAATCATTAATTTTCTTAACAGTTTCCATTACATGATTACATCTGGTGCAAGTACTGTTTCGTATATGGTCAAGACTGGATTAAAGTTGCAGTAAGGTGTTTACAAGGAATAATCCAATATTAGGGAGTAGATGAAGGGATGACACAGACTTCCATCAAGGGCTTCGGGTGTAATCAACAGAATAATTTGAATTTCCCCATTGATATTTCTTGGAAATCTACAAACCCTTTTGGTTGTATGTTATTATGCGCCATTCTCATAAAAAATTTAAAGGGCCGCAGATAGTTCTTCACGCTTATGGCGTTGATGTCTTTGGAAAAGACGTTATTAGAGGATACGGAGCAGTGCACATTCCAATGAAAATTGGTAGGTACGTACAACATTTTAGTGGTCTTCTGTGACATGTACTTAATACGAAACAGTATACTTCATGCATATCTTCCGCATTAATCGTACAGTTATTTTGCAGATGTAGCATAATATTCATGGCATTCGTTTCTCAAAGCATTTGCCTTGAGAGACTACAGTCTTCTTACAGATGATTTTTTAAAATAATTTATGTGAACCTGTCTTACTTTCTTAAGACAAAAACATGGCGGAATCCTACCTGAAAGAACACCCCGCCTACACCTTCTAACGAAGATATTGTTTAATAAAGTCGTAATGACGAAAATGTTTAGCTCAGGGGGATGTGTATTATGTGGTTGTGTTCTGTGAGCTGAGTGGTTTAACTGTGGCACTTTCACTGTATTTCTACACAACATCGCCAGTGCTCACTTTACTGTGGAGAAGGAATCTCAAATTCCCGTGAACAATTGAACTGCCTGATATTGTCTACCAGATGAAAATCTTTTTCTGTCTCCAGTTCCTTTGGGAATATTAGATGAAATTCACCTGGTTTCACTGATCTCTCTGTATTTTGGTCAAATGGATTATTCTAGTCAAAATCGACCGACCATTTGCTGTTTTTTTTAACGGTGAAACTAAAACTAAGGTAACGCACCAATTCCTGAATAATGTCCTTATCGAAGTCAGTGCCGTTGTTCCCATCTTATCACAGTTAACTGTGAGGCGACTTTCTCAGTGATTAGTTTGAAGACTATGACATATCTTTTTCTTAAGATTCATGTGTATAAACACTTTCTTAGGACACTGTGCTGCATTTATATTCAGGTGTATGTCGAATTTCACTAATGATATAAGAATTGGTATCCTGGATTTATTTATTTCTGCAGTATACAGCTTTTTGGCTTCTAAAGCCACACATACGGTGGGGTTGTAACCTGCAATCTCCTGTTCAGATATCATACTAGATATCAATTAGAACATGCAGAATCAACATTAGACCAAGTTCATCGCAGCGGTGCAGGTTAATTAACTGTTTCCCTTTTCTAGCCCAAAAAATCCTTACTAATCTGTTAAGGACTCTCTTAGTCACACATGTGCTTGTGTGTTGTACTGAGACTTCGTTGCACTCATCTTCTCTTATGTAGTAAAATAAACTGACATCCAAATATAAAGACCTCTTTGTTGATTCGCAAATAATTCCTGAGTAAGTTTTTATGTAGGTAAACAACTAGAAGATTTGCTTGATTATAGTTTTTTGTTTTTCATTATTCGTGGCATACTGGTAGCCATCATTTGAGGGGAAGCGTTAATTAATCAGCTGCGGAATCGATTTGGCAAATGTAGTCTCGTTTGGGATTTTTCGGATCAAATACGCGGTAAAATTCCTCAGCTTCGTTCCTAAATAAACCTGTTTTCTATTTCATATATCTTCGTTTGTACTTTTGTGTGCTTGTTCGAATTATGGTGCTTTAAATTGGTTCGCTTTTGTGAAAAGCTATACATTGATGAGTTAGCTGGGATATTCCTGATGTTACTAAGTGACAGAGCTTTTATTTACCCTGACACATAAACATGTGTTCCACCTGAATGTGTCTAATGAATTAAAGGACATTTCGGTTGGCATCACTAGTTTTGAGTATTGTTCAGAATCCAAATAACTCATATTATGAGTGAGAAACTTTGATCTTCATGTTTAGAAAGTCTATTAATTAAATTACATAAACCTTCACAAATGTCTTCATATGAGTAGAGCTTTTAAAATTTGTGATATACAGGGAGTGTGAGGAGACAAGTCCGACTGAACTATTGCATTCCTGTATTATCTTTTTAGTCTGAAATACTATAGAATCTTCCCTATTTGTTATTGCTCCAGTTAATTTTATGTCCTGGATTTAGTAATGTTTGTGTAGTGTGTTCTGACTAACCTGATAGAAACAGATTAAGAACTCCGCAGGTAAAACATTATGAGAGAGTATCTTGTAGTAAAGAGAAGTAGCACATTGCAACCATTTGTCTAAAAATTAACTCTATCTACAAAAGATTTACACACTTGGAAATATTCCAACTTAAAACTCATACATTAATCAAAGAAGAACTACGTGGCCTTAGAATATCCGACAAAGATATCTGATGGCCTCTAGAACTTTTTGAGATACGAAGACTACAGGAGGCTAAAACGTTAGGTTTTAATCATCATATGGCCAATACTAAATTACTACTGAAAATGAGGTGGCCAAATGTTTCAAAAATGTAATTTATTTAGTGGTTACACGATTTACTGTTTAATGACGAGATTTCAGCAATGACACGAAACGTTCTTCTTACATACCGGTTTGCATTATTCTGTGACATTGACTAACTAGCTGGTTACCTGCCAGTGATTTAGTATACGGTAAAATATGACCATGGTGGACAATTAACAAGTAGTAAGTATCCCTTAGGCAGTGCGAGTGCACATAAAAACTACAGGGTATAGAGTACTGACGATAAATTCTCAAATGATGTAGACATTTTAGTTGGTGAAACTACCGAATTCCATTGATTTTTATGACTTAAGAAATGTTGGTTGAAAAAGTTTAGAATCGTACAAAATCTAGGAATGAATAAACCAGGATATGATATTAGTCTATAAACATACTGAATGCTGAATAGTGGCGTGTAGTTAGTTTGTGTTTGGGCCTGAATCAAACATTAAAGGTTGTTAGCAAAAGGAACCAAATTCAACAGCGATGGGGATTTATTGTTTTCTTTAGTTCCTAGAGGAACATAGGGCTTCAGCTGCACGTCTTCATTGCATTCGGTTCTCTGCCAACGTTCTCACCTGGCTCCACGTCTGCCCACATGCTTTCATCTCCTATTCACATGACCTCCTCCATGTCACCATCGCACTGATGAGCGACTCGCAGCTTCCCGTTCGGGTTCCACTCGAGAGCCTGTCGTGTGGTGTCACTCAATGGTTTTCTCAAAGTATGGTCAGTCCAGCTCCATTTCTTCCTGCATATTTGTTGCGCAATCGGTTCCCGGTTGCTTCGTTCATTACCAGATATCCCTGTTGCTGATCTTTTCTGGCAAGGGAACAATTTACGTTATCTTAGGAGATTTAAACACTTACTCTTACTTTCAACAGATTAATGTTTCCTTTAATCACTCCTTGGACTAATTCACTTTCAAGTAAGGTTTTAACTTTATCTGCCTCACATAACTTTTAAATAACGGTCAGCTGTAAGCCATGTAGTCCGAGAACTTTATTAAAACCCTTAATGTCCGCCATTTTAGGAAGCTTCCCTTTTTAATTTTATGAATTATTACCTGCCTACCTGACAAAGAATTGAAGCAAACTGACTTTGTAAATTGCCTAAAGAAGTTTATTTATTCCAGCATCTGTTATCTCATGAATTCTAATACATTATTTGGTCAGAGTCTCTTAGAATTTCCGAATTACTTACCACTTTCTGGATTTTTGTTTTTAATCATTGTGTAATTTTCGAAAGAGATCTTACCGTGCTAGGTATGTTTAATAATAAGGCGAGTATTGTAAAAATTAATCTGGTCATCTCTTGAAACATTTATAGCTTAGGCCACAGGTTCCAAAATTGTCTGGTGTAACTGGTATAAAAAGCAAAACAAAAACAATTTCAGCTTGGGTAAAACTTTTGCATTTTTGTGATTTCCCCAGATTTTCAAATATTATGCAATGAGTACATACAGTGGTTGGTGAGTAAGGTGTAACTCTAACGCGAGAAGATAAGAGACCTTGTAACGCACCTTTATTAAGGAAAAATACACATTCTTGGCTACATTAAAGTCCGGCTAGGTCAGAGGAGAATAAATTGTTCTGATGAGTTAATTTCATATCCTGAACGTAAACTAAATCTAGATTTGACGAATAGACACTTCTATTTCTTCAGTCATTGAATTAAAGTGTTGATTTCAGTTTTAGCCGCTTCCTATCCATGTCCATCATGCCACATAACTATTGTCATTTGCCCAATCTTTATTTTAGGCTGAGTGCTATCAGTCAAGTTCTCTATGCAGTCACCAAGCTAGCTAACTGGCCTCAGAGGTGCATTTTGAACTTGTGTCAGGTGATTGGAGGCGATTGCTGTGAGCATAACTCAATAGTAACTTTTCTGACTAACTAATCCAAGGTGAAATGGGTTTCAATCCATCAGTGCATATCAGCTCCTATGAAGTTGAAGATATGCCTAGCTGACGAGTGCCAATAGCCGCGAAACACAGGCCTCAATTTTCTCTGCCTCCTACCACCTAGAAAAAATATATGTATATATATTTCCTAAAATTTCTAGTATTTTCTGATATGCTTATTCATTTCTTCTTATATATTGACTAATTTTAACAAATAAAACCATGACAACTCACCATTTTGTTACCACTCTCTTTCTTGAAAAATTGTATGCAGATTCACTTGTATAGCTAAAGCAAATGAATTCAGGTACTGGTTTGTAGGGATTTGATTGATTGATTACAGGATTTCATCATGAGCTGACATCGGTTAGAAAATCATTGGAAAACCAACAGGGATAACTAGACAGCTGTCTCTTCCTAGTTTGAGATTCTTGAGCAGTACACACCCACCACAGGGGGTTCGAACCCAAGACTTTCCGGTTACAAGACGAGCTCATAGATCACTAAGCCACTGGGACCCAATCCAATGGCCAGTCCATGAATTCCAGCTTCTGTCGATTCACTGTATAGCGCCGAAAACAGTCTATTCTTTAAACTGCTTGTTTTCTCACAAATATATGTTTTTCGTCTACTTTATTTTTTATTTAGCCACAGAAGAAGAGTGGCCATGTTTGTGCCACAGTCATCTTCAAAACTGATGAAGCTGAACGCTTGGTTGACAGGGAAAAGACCAGAATTCCTTAATCCAAAAGTTATAGCCAGTGGTGATGGTCGTGGAGGTTAGTAAACTTTTTAAGTGTATCCATATGCTTATTCACACTTTAGAAGATCACTATCTTACTATTCTTAAATGTCTGTCTCTATGGTAACCTTACCAGACTGTGTACTATGGCTGTAGTGTTGTCGCAAGTGGAATTCTGTATAAATTCTATTTGCCAGTGTATTATTCCAGTTTCACAAATACACAACTTCTTGTGAGTATATATAATTCACAAGAAGATAAGAGCTCATATTGTATCCAAGACTTATGTGAAACATTCGCAAAACAACCAAGTGAGATTATGAAATTAACCTCTACTGGAATTTAAGCATTCTGTTTTGCCACTTGTTAGAGCTTTTGGTTGAAATCTCTTCAGTTCTAACTGAATTATCTACTCTACTACAATTTGTATATATGCCTATATACTAAGTTTTGAAGCTTTAGAAAACAGGATTTATTCATTTCTTTGGGATACTGTTTCAGGAATTTTATGCAGCCGGTAGGCTTTATTAGTTTGAATAAAGAAAGAACGAATATATTTACAGGATATTACGAGCCGGTTACATTTTGTGGATTCTCTTCAGCTGCGTACATCCTAAATAAATAAGTTACAAAATATTGTCTGCACATACTTTTTACAGTAACTCCAAGTTATAGATAGAAAGTATCAGCAACATAATTTCAAAGATGATATAACTGGACAATTATTTAGTATTAAAAAAGTAGCTATTCATACAATAATTAGACAAAGGGGTGGAATTTAAATTTCTCTTTAAAACAAGGACGGGCTAGAGACAGAATACAAGACAGAACAACAGAATGAATTCACACATATTTTGATGGAGATTTCAGGAGGGTGGGCATGAATAGTGAAGTAAAATTATGAAACAGATAAAATAATTTAATAGGTTTGGAACCTTAATAGTGAGTTCAACTCAGTGAGTGAAAATCGAAATCAAGATTGAGTGGAATGTTATGAAACAGAACAAAGTCTAAAAGCACACGAACAAAATAACTACGGTTGACATGTTTGTGAGAGATTAGTCACACTCTCTTTCTGTATGCATAGGTTGGGTCGAAATCTTTTGAAGGCAATGGCTTCTGCGATTTTGAAAGCCTGACTAATTTCAACTGTATGTCCTATGTCAATTATATTTCTGGCAGTTGTACTTGAGACTACTTTGTTGCCTTTCAAATGGAGACTTTTAGGAATACGCTTGGAGAATCTAGTAGACGCTCTCCTCTCAGTTCTTCCTAAGTAAGTGCTGCTGCGAGTTCAGGTGAATTGGTAAATGCAGTTGCAGTTGACATGTGGAGTAGGATACTTATCTACTTTTGACTGAGTTAACGAGCAAGGCGTGTTGTAAAGTGGAATGAATCTGGAGGTGGGAAATGTTCTTTTCAATGTACCTTTAATTATTTTCCCATTCTTGTGGATACTTCTTCATCTTTGTACGCTATACTGATAAAAACTGGTTTCTTTTCAACTATTTCGGGCTTCGATCTAGGTGTTTTTTCTTCCTTTTCTATGACTTCAAGTTCCCCTTCGATCTTATCTTCTGAATACAACGCCCTAGCTCTGCTGAAGAGCGTTTCTACCAAGCTCCGTTTGTAGCCGATTGAACTTCTGTTATCCTGTAAATATGTTCGTTCCTTCTTTATTCAAACTTTTGGAATATTTGCTATGTTTAACTATCTTTTGACTAATGAACAATAAGCGCAAGAATACGAACGTCTACCTAAGAATTGTGCCATTTGTAAACCTATTTGAATAAGCTAAATGTTTAGATAGTTTAATCACCCAGAAGAACATAAAGTCGTAACTTTGGGAAATGGATTTTTATCACTACAGCATACAGAAGGGTTTGAAATATACGGATGTTAAATAACTGACGAATTAATTTTTTACGTGGTACAACAATTCGCAAGCTACAGACTTTGATCAACAGTTTCCTTCGGTCCGTGCTGAAGATCGGGTGACCAGATAGGTGACAAGAAAGTTTGTCAACGAACCACTCAAGAACCTACTGCCCAACGATTATGAAGAAAAAATGGAGACGGACTGTATATAGCGTTGAGTGATATCGTGCACTAGGCCTTCGAGTGGAACTGTAGTGGTAATCGACGAGTTTGGATTGGGTCCAAGGGCGATATGGAGGAGAGTGTGTGAGGAGGAGATGAGAAGTTATAGACGATCTTGAAGCCATTTAGAAGAAATAACAGAAGAGGATGAGATGAAGATGTGTTGCTGAAGCCCTATATTTCACTCAGAACCGAAGAGGATTATAAATAATGAAATAATTACGACGGTCATCATTATAGAGTCTTCCTTACCGTGATTGGACACGAGATAGTCTAGTCTTTGTCTGATGCAAAACGATTCCTATCAGTCAACTTTGTAATGTGACCACCATGTTAGGTGGCTCACTATCACGGTGCACTCTGAATTGTTGTTATTAGATGGTTGGAGGCAATTGGCAGGAAGCCCTGGACCTGATAGAATTCAGTTTGCACTTTACAAAAAGCCAGATGCATGACATTAGTTACCACCTACAGTCGAATCACAGTTTTTATTACACTCCTAAAGGAAGTGAATCGCGAGCCCGATCAGTACAGTTGTGAAGTCTCTGACTGCAGCATTTGGTGACCCAAGTTCGAGCCTGTGAGGGGACATCAATTCCTTGAGATTTGTCAACAAGCACGAAACCAAGATTCAAGGACTTGTGTCGATTGCGTCCAATCACGTGATGACAACAAAGTCTTCATTCCCATTTATCAAACCATTTTATGCTAAATGCTTTAATTGCGAATGTTCAAGTATGATATATAACAGGTGCTTCATGAAGCACCATTTTTATGTTTTCATATCTAAGATGATATTAATCCATGGTCAAACTCGTAAAAATAAATCTAATCCTTACAAAACAAATATAGAAAATTAATCTGATGCTCGTTATTGATTTGGTACAGGACGGAGTTTCCTGGAATTCTAGTAAGAAGTCGTGACCGGTGAGATCCATCCAGTCAAGTGTGAGGATGGATACCCCACCGATGACGTTTGTTGGTGGTCGCGCTAAATCACGAATTGGTAGAAGTTAGAATTCATGGGCTGGCCATCGAATCGGGTCCCAGTGGCTGAATGGTATACGAGCTTGCCTTGCCTGGGTGCGTACTGCCGATGATTCCCAAACTAAGATGAAACAGCTGTCCAGTACCTCCTAATTTTCAATGGTTCTCTAACTGATATCAGTCTGTGGTCAAACTCTTTAACAGAATTCTCATCATTTGAATGTACAATAGCTGGTAAAATATCACCCTAGTTAAAGTCTTAATTGATGGCTATGAAGATGTTATTAAATATTCACATAAAACTGTCTATCATCCCACTAGTTATATGTATGTTATTATTATTATCCCATTGATTTCCAAGTAGCACAGTGGGCTTTAACAGACAGAAGATCAGTAGTGTAGCGAAGAGTCTCTTTTCGTCAGCGAATTCATTTTCGCAGCTGAACAATCGTAAATATATATGGTTGTTTTGAATGTGTGTGTACATTAAATTTTTTAAACGAAAATACAATTAGCAAGTTTTTGATGGAGTTACTTACTACAAAAAGCGTTCAGAGGAATTAGATGCTGATATAGGAGGATAGTAACAAAAGTGGTGAGCTGTTACAAACGATTTTTAAAGAAGAATTACGTAATAACAACATGGATAGTTTGATGAAAGAGTTGTGCTCAGGGTATATATAGAAACAAAATAAAATACAAAATTACGTAGGAGTTTTAAGTAGTTAGAAAAAACAAACAGACAAGCAAACGTTAAGTCAAATCAACAGAGTTATCACCATGATATTAGAAGTAGCTGAATAATTTTCTTTTGTATGCATAGTTCTGGTTCTTCTAACTGAATGGCTTAGGCTTCTGCAATGCAAAGAAGACGGACACGTATTGTCTTTGGCAAGTTAATCTTCACTTTGTAGATCACTTTGAAGAAGGCGTTTGTTGAGATGGAATGACCAGTGATGACGAGATGTTGGATTATTGCACTCCTTATAGGGCCACTACTTCCCTTAAACACCGCATCTCTGTTTCAGTCTACTCTCTAAAGTCTCTTTTAGCTAGCTGTAAGATTGTTTTCAACACTACGACGTACCTCAAGTCTTTGTCAATCTCATTCAACGGCTATATGACAATGCCAAGTATCAGGTAATCCACAACGGAAAATTCTGCGAGGCGTTGGAAGTGTATACAGGAGTAAGACAAACTGGCTGCCTGCCTATTATCACCGATGATATTCTTAATTGTGGTGGACTGGATTATGCGTCAGACTGCTGGGGGGGGGGAGGAGTCAAGAATACGCTGGACGACTGATAAGAAGACTCTAGAAGATCTGGGTTTCATGTGTGGATGATGTATGTCTAGTGTCACAGAAACTCGAAGACTTGCAAGCGAAAACCAACAAACTGGCTGAAGAGGCAGCGAAAACAGGACTCCAAGTGAACGCAGAGAAGACGGAGGTGATGAAAGTAACCGATCAATAGCAACAAAAACCAGCACCAATCACCATCAACGGAAGAGATTTAACAGAGGTTATCTCTTTCACTTATCTAAGAAGCATAGTTTCAACCACAGGCGGAACGGATGAAGATGTCAAAGCCAGGCAGAATTGGAAAGGCAAGATACGCCTTCATTAACCTGAAACCAGTTTGGAAATCTCCCGCAATCAACACAAGGAACAAAATTCGCATTTTCAACACCAATGTGAAGTCGGTCAATTCTTTTATATGGGTCAGAAATATGACGTGTCACGAAAAGGATTTCCAACGGATTACTGCAGACTTTCATCAACAGCTGCCTTCGCTGTCTCCATACTGAAGATCAAATGGCAAGCCAAAAAAGAATATGCAACAAGAAACTATGGGAACAAACCAACCAAGAGCCGATCGCTCAACAAATATATAAGAGAAAGTGGAGTTGAATCGGGCATACGTTGAGGAGGCCGCCGACTGACATCGTACGCCAGGCCATAACTCGAGTGGAATCCAAATGGGAAGCGACGAGTGGATCGTCGGTGCGAGGGTGACATGGAGGAGATCGTGTGAGGAAGAGATGAGAGAGTTTGGTCAATCGTGGACCAAGATGAAGACGACAGCAGAAGATATGACAAAGTGGAGGTGTGTTGTTGAAGCCCTATGTTCCAGTCGGGACGCAAGGGAATAATAAATATAAATAATAATAAGATTGCCTATAAGCTTTTCTTTCCTCCTCACATGATCATTTCACTGTCACTCTTGGTTGCTCAACTCGTCGCTTTCCATTCGAATTCCACTCGAAGGACTGGCTTGTGATGTCACTCAGTGGTTTCTTCAGTGTATTTCCAATTCAATTCATTTTTCAGATCAGAATGAATAACAAGGGGGAAGAGCGAAAATAGATATAAAGCAAATTATGACACCATGCGAATACATTGATATGTGAGCAATAAATTTAGCTAGAAACATCACTCGCTTATCAATACTGTATCACTGTATGTCATATTAAATAAACTTATCTCATGTGGAACTCAAGATGTCTGTCTAGTTCGTTGTTAACGTCTCACAAATTTAGGCTTTAGAATTAAATATTACTAGTTATCTCCCTTTAGTGTATCTCAGTCGTACTGTTGACATAGTTCTGCAACGACAGACGACAATGGCCAGGCAACAGATCGTCTATTGAGAAAATCAACAGGTATTTATAGATTTTTATGTACAGTATTATTAGCGTTATTGTTAGCAGAGGAGCTATGTCTTCTAATTGGTTGTTTTCTTGCTGAAGGTTATTTTGTACTGCTTGTGACCGTTTCTTAGAAAGTTAAGCCATATATCTGCCAATCGTATTTGCACACGTTAAATCTGCCTTGATTGGTTGGTGAGTTCCTCAAGGTTAAGCTTTGTTATAGTTTTTTCTCATGACCCCGATTCGAGACGTAAACACTGACGTAAATCGTTGTCTACAATTTTGGCCTGCAGACAGCTCTCACCACAGTTCTATTATTGGGAAATGGAAGTTTTGTTTGATAAATATGCTGCTTTAATGATTCTACCAATAATATGGAAGAAGAAAGTCCTCGGTACTAAGTTTGCTTACTTTTAATATAACTTTGGAAAGGTTGAAATAATCTTTTTTTTCCTGTTTCAACTAGACTACTGTTCCATTCGTTTTGTTTAAAACTGAGTCCCTTCAAATTTGTTTTTTTTGGCGTTTATTATTTAGTAACAAAGGTACAAACTCAAGGATTTGTAGATATTGTATTCAATATTGCTCTGAAGAATCTACAAAATTTGGGTTATACAAATGATAAGAATAGAGAGAGCCTGCAAGAGGATTTGTTGATGTTAGTCAATACGGATCCAGTTTAATGGGAGATGAATGCTGCCAGATGCTAACCCGTGATTAATACTTCGGCTTCTGTTTTTTGATAATTTTAATAGTATAAACCCTTAAATAACGAAAGGCTTCATACTTGTTTAAGTCATCTGTTTATACTTTGTTGTTTTGTATTTATAATGTTTGAAATATCTGTATTTTCTGGTTTATACTGAGAGCCATTTATTCAATTTATATGAATAAACATTGATTGAGGGTGTCAGTTGTTTTATTTAGCTGATGCGTTTTATAAGAATTTGGACCATTTTCATTGTACACCTCGTCATAAGCCAATATTAGTGACAGTGATCACTGAAAACTGGTAGACAGCGCTGGAGGATTGTTTCGTCTTAGTTCTGGACTCTTCTTCAGTGTGCACCCATGAACCTTTAAGGTATTGGTCGTGTCATTGATTAGCTTTGCTAATCATAATATGCCTAATAACCCAGAACAGTAGATAGGTACACTACCTGACTTTTAAGTACTGATAACAACTATCAAATCAAAAAGACTCACTTCTTTTGGAATGCCGTCTGATAATCATTATGTTAAGGTTAATTAGCGAAATAATTTTAGGATTTATCTGGTTAATAAGGCTGAACCACTTACTATGAGTATGTGCGTGTTAACATCACAAGGAAGGAGGGCAGAATAGAGTCCAAGCCTGGCAGTGTGAATATCCATTCAAACAAAGCTTAAAGCATCTAAAGCATTTACAGGTGAACTAGATATTTGTCTAGTTAATATTAAGTTGATTCGATTCGACTTATTAGTTTTAGGCCAGCGTTTCTTTTCGTGCCTTGGAAGGCGCATTACAACCTCACTAGAGTTCACAACTGTATCCTACAGGTCACGAGGCCAAGCTCGTTAACCATTCAGCCACTTGCGCCTGAGTTCCCTGGGGGTGTGAATGCTAACTTTATCAGTTCATGATGTCAGATCTTTAGATATTCCTATTATTAATATTAGAACAAGATATATAAACGAACAATATTGCTGTTTTCAATTAGATCTTCTTCAGGATTTACTCTAATTTACATAGATTTATATATAAAGAAAATTTAACCAATGATGGTGAGTTTGTGGATCAAATTATGATAATAATGTGTTAAATGTTTTGAATATCAGTAATAACGATGATTATAATGATAACAAAATTATAATAAGGTTTATGCAGGTGGCGATAAGAATAACGAAGGCAGTAATATGTGTATATGTAGACAATTCAATAAATAAATTAGGTCAAATCTTAAAAGTTACGTAATACCAAAGGTGAAGTGGACAGATAATCAGAGTTCAAATAAATATCATAAAAGTACGAAGGAGAAGGAAAATAAGAAAGGGTGAGAGGGTTTTGAATAGAATTCACCTAGGCCAAGGGAGAGACAAAGGTAGAACGAACTTCTTTTGCATGCGAAGACTAGGATTGTTCTCTCGAATTAATTCACATAGCTTCGGCTATGTGAAAGGTTCGATGGAATGCGATAGATAACTTTGAAGGCACTACTTCTGTCCACTTGGTGACCGCTATCAATCAAATGAGCCAAAATAGAACCTCTTATAGATTTTATTTGACCTTTTCCAAACCATGAAGGAAGATGCTCATTAATGCGTTTGTTAAGCTGTCTAGTTGTTCGCCCTATATAGCTCTCTGCACAGAAGCAACTGAGTTTGTAAATACACATAGAAGTAGCACAGCTAGGCAACTTGTCTTTCGCTTAAGCAATCATAATTGGTAGGCCGGAAACTGACGAACAAAGGGTGGCGGCAGTTTAAGTCCGTTTTATTGCTCTAGATAACCTTAGATGTAGGACCTAATTTATTTATTTATTGAATTTTCTACATATACACATGCATATTACTACCTTCGTCATTCTTATCGCCACCTGCATAAACCTTATTGTCATAATTTTGTTAACATTATAATCATCGTTATTACTGACGTTCAAAACATTTAACACATTATTATTATTGTAATTTGATCCACAAACTCACCATCATTGGTTAAATTTTCTTTATATATATGAAGCTATGTAAATTAGAGTAGAGCCTGAAGAAGCAGATCTAATTGAAAACGCCAATAGTGTTCGCTTGTATATCTAGTACAAGATTTAGTGCTACCGTCAACCAATGTAATCACTGCTGAAGTGTCTCAAACTGAGAAGAAGAAACAACTATCCAGTACGCTGTAGTGTTTAATAATTCTCTAACTGACGGTGTCTTGTGATGAAGTCTACACAGAAACTGTTTTATTTTCTCTTTTAGATATGGTGATCGTTTTTGAAATCAGTAAGAGTTTCTTAATTGGTTCAGAACATTCTTCTTGGCATATTTAAACGTTACTCTCTGTTTTCAGTACTGGTTATAGGGGAGACAGTTTACAACTAAGTTAATGATCACTAAATAAGGATATACTAGTAGAATATAAAGTGTAAGTCGGAAACCGCTTGTTTTAAGTGTGCAGGGAAGACTGAGATGTTGTCGATGAGAAGCCAAAAACAATATTTTTTTTCTGATTATATCTTGAAACCACACAGTATTTTTGGTACAACTATGGAATTTTCAGCATATGATATCAGTAGCCCAAATTTTGCAGGCCAACCATAGATTTCAGGTGTGCGTCGGCAGGAGGTCGAACCCTGGACCATGTGCATGGTCGGCGAGAGTCCTAACCGCTGTGCCACCGACGCACAAGTTACTAGGTGATGTAGATAAGAATCAAAAGTTGCGGTACAAATATAGTCATACTTTATCCTTATTCAGATTTCATTACTACGTTTTTTAATTCAAATTTTGAGCGCACTGGTGCCATTTCTTTGTCTTCCCAATATCATTTTCATTTGGATCTAAAACTATCCTGCCGTATTATTCTACTGTCTCATGTACATTCTGCTTAATTTTTAATGAAGGAGAAAGCAGAGAGAAGAGAAATTTGACCTAAAGTCGTTCACTTACTAAAAAAATTCATTATTGTGATGACTGATGTAAAGTATTTTTGTTATCTATGGTTCCCTTAAAGTCCTCATCAACCTCGTCGAGCAGCTGTGTGACAATGGAACATATCAAGTGATCCAAAACGGAAAACTCAGTGAGGCGTTTGAAGTGGAGACAGGAGTAGGGCAAGGCTGCCTATTATCACCATTGATATTCTTAGTGTGGTGGACTGGATCATGCGCCAGACTGTGGGGCGTTATAAAACAGGAATACGCTCACTGGCACCATAAGAAAGCTCTAGAAGATATGGATTTTACAGATGATTTTTGTCTAGCATCACGAAAATTTAAAGACTTACAGGAGAAAGCCAAAAAGTTTGTAGAAGAGGCAGGTAATGAAGACTAGACGCCATGTAAATGTAGAGAAGATGGAAGTGATGAAGATAGCCAAGCACTGACGGCAACAACCAGCACCAATAACAATCAACGGGTGATATTTGAGAGAGTTTAATTCTTTCACTGATCTGGATAGAAAGCACGGTTTCAACCACAGCCCGGCGAAACGGACGAAGGTGCCAAAGCCAGGCTGATTCGGAAAGGTAAGATACACCTTCATCAATCTGAAACCAATTTGGAAATCTTCTGCACAAGATTCGGATTTTTAATACCAAAGTCAAGGCGGGCAGTATATATCTATATGGGTCAAAAACTTGCACTGCGTGTCATGAAAAAGCATTTCCAACAGGCTACTGCAGACTTTTATCAACATCTGCCTTCACTGGCTCTGTAGTGAAGATCAAATAGTCAGAACGAATCAGCAGCAAGAAACTCTGACGAGCGACGAACCAACCAAGAACCTGTGGCTGACGGAATTCGCTAGAGAAAATGGAGGTGGATCGGACACACGCTGAGGAGACCATCGAATGACACCACACGTCGACCAAGCCATCTATCGGGTGAAACCTGAATGCGGAACGACGAGTTTGGCGTGTGTCTGAGGGTGATGTGGGGAGGTCGTGTGACGAGGAGGAGATGAGAGATTATGGGTGATTTTGGGGTCAGCCAAAGAGTCTCAAAGTAGGACGAAGCAGCTGTCCAATAGTTTCGAGTTTTCCAATGGTTCTCTAACCAATGTGAGCTCGAGATGGAGTCCTGTAACAAAAAGTGTTGTCTTTTTGACATCTTTTCATATGTTTCATTGAATTTACCACAATTTTGTTTTGATTCCATCTGTCACTGGTCATCTTTATGTGAAAACTGTAATAAGCAAACATTTTCGGGACAAAATCTTAGCAAAAGTGAACTGCTCCAGTACAAGGGCATTCGACTAGGATGAAAAGAGGAAAAATTCAATTTCTGCAATACACTTACAGATGATTTCGAGATGACATATTTGTAATTTTAGATATGCCAGTTTATACAACAAATCTTGGTGGTTACACGTTTTGAATGAGGGTTGATTTCAAAAAGTTCAATTCTTCTTCCTGTGCATGAGGGCTACAAGTAGCTAGAAATAATACTTAGGTCCCGTTTACGTCCATTCGGTAACCAGATGTAGAAACGTGCCAGTTAGGCATCCTATGTGGGCTTCCTATGGATGGAGCTTCTTAAAGTTCTGTTGGCTGTTCAACATCAAGAAAAAGAATTTTAGATTCATTTTTTTTATTTAAAGAGTGAACTGTGTTACTAGATGGCAGTTGTTGAATATCTGTAACACATGATTAAGATCATAACTATCATCACAGGTAATAAAAATGTCATCCACATATTTAGCATACAGCTGAAAATTGCCAATACTTGACTTAAGTGGACCATTCTTAAGGCTTTCTATGAAACAGTCTGTTAGCAACAGAACTAGAGGAGATCCAACTCCAATCCCATTTGCTTGTCTATAAATGACTTCGTTAAATGTAAATTGCACATTAAGGGCGCATCTCAGTAGTAGTTCCTTTAAATAAACTGTTGGCAACTTGATTTTCATCTGGCTTTCATCTTGGATCGCATCTATGGTAGGTCCATGGATGTGCATTTCAGGAATGTCCAAAACTAGGACAAAATAAGTACTCAGTGCTTTTCAGTTGGTTCTTGAAGAATTCTACATTGAGTATAATCCAAATCGTCACAAAACCCGACATCCGAAAGTCTTCCTTCCTTATTTGTTGATAGCAATATCTAAAACCAACTTTAGCAATTTTTATGGGGCTTTCAATTTTGCATTATTGACCAAACGCAAATGCTGAAATAAACTTTTGGATTTGTTGACATTTTTTAGGGAAGAATAATGA